TAAAGTTTGTAATTCTACTAATGAAACTTTTTATTCCTTTATCTAATTAAATTAATCAAATATGCACTTACATCTAAGTTAAAAAAAATTAAATAAAAAATCCAAAAAAAAATAATATTTAAAATGCATAATTAATTAGGTAAAAAAAATATAATTAATAAATTTAAAACTTTTATATGAAACATAAATTTTTAATTTTAAAATCAGAGCACTGAAATTATTTTTAATAGCTCAATTTGTGCTAGATAATAGTCTTTATCGGTGAGTGGATAAAAAATGTGAATAATTATATCGAATCACTTGTTCAGGTTACTCAGCCATTACCAACTGAGTCCAATCACTAGGATATTAAGCAATATTAATATCTTCGTCCTTTCACATTGTTAGAAGAATAAAACTAATTCAGGGACAGATCTATTTATATTCATAGACTGATCTACATATTGCATCAAAAACTAACCCTGGCTTTAACAATTTTCCTAAAAAGGAAATTAATTATAAACACATTAGCATAGAATATTTATTTAAAAAATTCTTTCAGATATATCAGATACACCTAAATAATATTTCTCACAAATGTGTCAAATGTAAAATCAGCAGCATTACCCTGCTTATTAGTACTCTAATCATGTCAAATGTAATATTAGATACATAAGTTATCTATTAAAATATTAAGAAAAAATTAAGAATAAAATTATATTAAACTATAATAAAATAAAAATGAGTAATTTAACAACTTTCTCCATATATGTCAAATGTAAATTGGTATTCATTAAACTATTAAATAAAAGATATGTATATTTAGATAAAATTCCTTAGATGCATAAAATGAAAAACTTACAGTACTCCTGTTCATTAAACTATTACAGTGTAAATTTTCTACAAATGCATCCAGTATAATAGGAAGTATCTTTAATCTGTAACTATAAAAATAGTAACTAAAATCATATTAAAAAAATGATGAAATGCATTAGATAGACATAAGACTCACAGATGTGAACTGAATATTGTTATAATCACTTAAATAAATAAAATCTCTTATTCTTGCATGAACTCCTATTGCAAATAATTATCAAAGGAACATAGCTAATAATTAGTAAATTGTTTCGCTCGCTATAAATATGACTGAATTCAAACCATGATACCAGTTACTAATTCACTCAAGATTATTCATTTGATTATATTTTTTCTTTATTTGATCCATTATTCCAATAATTAATAGTGATCTCTGATACTTTTTTTTTCTTTTTCTCTCTCTTTTTGCTATTCTCTTTTATTTCTTCTTAAAATATGAGTCTCAAATACATTAGAATACAACAAATTATATATTTACAAAAATGAAACAAATCAATACCAAAAATTCTGCAATGCTTTTGCATACAATTATATGATCAGCACCGTGGATTCTAAATATTCGAAAGATTTAGTATGCAAAAAAGCTCTTGATGCATGGAATAAAATTAAGGGAAAACCAAAACATGAAATTGAGAATACTATAGAATACCTCATTGCAAATGCTGCCTCTACTACCAAATATTTAAACCTTGTCAAATATTTTAATACTGAAACTTCAAACCAAAATAGGATAATTGAGAAAGTTATTGTTCCTGGTACACCACCACCAAATACTGTAGCACAGAAGAAAGCAAAAAAAATAATCATTAAAATAAATGATGAAATCACAAAATATCAAGAGGACTATAATTCAACCATCTATCTGGAGGCCAAATATGAGCTAATGGATTGTATACAAGACCTTAAGAATGTTCTGAAGGTCAAGAAAAAAAGAATCCAAAGCCTAAAAAAAAATGCAGATTACCAGTGCAATTATAGAGAAAAAAAAGACCAAAATTTAAAGAAGCATTAGCAAGTCATAAAGTATGACTCACCTGGGCATCCTCTTTTCCTGTACAAATACCCAGACTTATTAAAGCACATTCACAAAAGCATAGAGTTCAGGACTGCTAATAGCAAAAGGAGAAAAGAAGTTATTAAGGTTTGAATGATAAATCACTTGCAAGAAGTACTAGAGTCAAAATATGATGAACATCTTTCTCAAACTACTGTGAACAATTATCTGCTGCCACGTCATTCAAACTCAATAGCAGCAAAAAAACACTATCATCTGACTAATGTTTAGATAAGTAATATATATATTTAATATTAGAGGTTGGGCTTTCAGATTTGAAAAATTTCACCATATTTTCACAAAATAACACCCACCTATGCGTTATTTCGAGCCACACACATTATTTTGAGTATGCTTATATGCATTATTTTGAAAAAAGGATCAGTTTTTTGAACTCTAATGCATATATCAAATTTGCTAGTACATACAATACATGGAGTGCATTACTTCGAGGGTTATTTCGAAACTAAAGCATGCTATTTTAAAATGATCCAATTTTTAAAATAATGCCTATGCCTGTTATTTTGTGAAAATACAGTACATTTCATATATAAATTCGAATTTAAAATCGAATTTATATAAAATGTAAAATTTTTCAAATTCAAATTCAATCTTTATTTGATATTTACTATCTTTTTTTAGTTTGTATATGTTTATCTATGAACATTCATACACTACCATTATATACTTTAAAAATTATATAAAATCATTTTTATTTAAAAAATAACAAACTTTTAGTAACATGTTCATACCTTGTCTAATTTTTTATCTGTTAATGATGCTAATTCAGGTCACAACTGTTTTAAGAAATGAAAAAGCAGAGCATCAAAATAACCATTATTGTCTTGCCTCTGTAAAGGTGGTAAGACAGTTTGCATCCCTATTTCTGATCTTTTCAGTAATTATGTCACAAGATGATAAAGCCAAAGTTCCTCTTGGCATTTCTGCAGTTAGCAGAACTTTCCAAGCCATACAAAGCATCAATGAGCCAGTTATCGTTCCAGACCATGACTTTCCTGTTGTTTTACAACAGAAACTTGTTCCATCTGTTTATTTAATCATCGACTCAAGTGACACAAACAATATGCTTCGTAGTGGCCAATTGTCAATATACATCCGTCCACAATATGAAATAGAAACAAGCTCAATAACCCATATGAATGATTTATATTCATTAATGAACAATGGCCATTTCGACAATATGTTAAAGGTTGATAATAAAATTAGACCCATCTGGGTCCTCCTTGTAGATGGAGGTCTAGATAAAAATCTCTGATATTTGAAAAACATCTCTCAATACTGTGCTATATTTCACTCTTTTGATCTCGATTATTTGACTATTAGAACTCATGCTCTGGATTAGTGATCTAAAATCGACTAAAATTATTTGATTAACTACCAATTTGCCAAAATTATCAATTAAAAAATTTAGTCAACTGATAAATATTAAATGACTAGTTAACTAAACATTAGTTTATTCTATTAATTACTCTAGATTACTCATCATACAACCCTGTTGAGAGAAGTATAGCATCCCTTTTAGCAAAACTTGCAGGCATAGTCCTGCCTGTTAACAAACATGGCACCTATCTTGACTCACAGGGCAAAATTGTTGACCTGGAGCTAGCAAAGAAAAATTTTAAATATGCAGAAAACCTTCTCTATGATCTGTGAAAATAGGACAATATATTCGGAAAGCCTGTTGTGACTGAATATGTCAACATGAAAAGTACCTCAATTTCAGATGATATACCTTAGAAATAGATAGAAATTCATGCAAGAATTTGCAGATACTCTTTAGATGTAAAGAAATGTAATAACATCAAATGTTGCTCCTCTAAGTGATGCGAGAAGGCTGCTAGCCTTCTTGCCTCAAATGATGGTTTTTTTCCCTTCTTGTAATAGGAAAAGACGGCCATTATATTAATTCAATACATCTATTGGAGTATCTTAATAAAGCAAAAATACCAGGGTACATCAGCATTGTCCCTCTATAGCTGATAATTATACAAAACACTCCTGTCCTATTTGTAAGAAATATTTCTCAACAGTCTCGATAGTTGCTGCTTATAAAAAAATCAACATTTAAAAGAAGTTCATCTGGCTAAACGTGGACCAGGAAGGCCAAAAAAAACTGTAACAACAGCAAAAAAGCAAAAAATTAAATAAAAATTTTTTATTTGTTAATTTTTTTATTTAATAAATTTCTATAGTAATATTCTGAAATATAGAAAATCATAGCAAAATTTTAACAAAATTTTCAGTGCCTTACCATTATATCTTACCTAAGATCTTTTATCAATTAAAGTGTTAAATTTCGACTAAATAGCATATATCTATCAAAGAAACCTTTTTGTTTTATTAGTTGATTTAGTCTTAGTAGTTCAGCAAAAAAATTTCACTATTATCAATAGTAGAATGCATACGATCTAAAAATTTCAAAGACTTCAAGATCTATATATGTCATAAATTAAAAATAGTTAAAATTTGATATCTTTTTTAATGGCCAAAGTTTACAACTCATTAGTTACTTTCATCAACTTTAGTATTTGCTAGCATAGTTTTGCTATAATAACTAATTCAAAACTTCCCAAAATAAATTCATGCACATACCTAAGATCCAGCTAAGCCTTCTGCCAAAAGACAAGACCCAAAATAATAAAAAGAATTTTTATCGTACTGTCAGTTCAGTTGGCGTTAAATTTGTTAAATAGCCCTATAATGTTTAGTAAACTCTGATCTGAAATAATATCAGATATCGATTTGATAGTAATTTAATTCAGTAATTGAGCCCAAAAGTAAGGTTATACGAAATAAATGAATCACAGCTATGTCATAACAGGTAACTAGTATGACAAACAGCAGAGACCGTTAATGTTATACATATATTCAAACTGGTGAGGAGTTATATCCATCACAATTGAATTCAACGTAAATAATTTAATTTGTGATTGATCACAGGTGAGAGGGATTGGTCACTGTCTCTGCTGTAAGTATAACATTATCTTATATAGCTTAGGTCATATCAGTTTTCTGGGCTGTTATCTTATTATTATTGTAAGGAAAAACTGTTAATTACTGCACTATATGGGACCGTTATGACATAATCTTGTTAGGAAAACAACCATTAAAACTGTTAATTACTATGCCACATAAGGCCATTATGCCATAATGCTGTAAGGACCGTCGGTTACTGCACCATATGGAACCATTATAAAAATTTTCTGTGTCTGTAAGGGATTTCTAGAAGGTTCCAAATATTTGGATCTAGGTTTCTAGAGGGTTTCAGATACTTGGGTCTGAGTGAGGGTCTATATTTACATAATAAGTGTCAGTTCCCTTATAGTTTAAAAATGTCACAGAGATAATACTAGAGTGTAACCAGGATGATAGAGTCACTATTATAACTCAGGTACTGAATACAGATAGGATTTGCAATATAAATTACTGTATAATATTAATAAAGGCTAAATATAGCAATAATTAATTGTGTGAATAGGTTTCTATTAATAGATAGGTTATAAAATATTGGTGTAAATTAATAAAGTATAGATTAGTAAATGATTATATAGTTATATAAAAAACATGTAAGAGAAAAAGTGGATAGGATGGAGACAAAGGATAGAAAAAAGTTTTACAAAAGAGTAAATATTAAATTTGTTGTAATTCAGTCAATATTGAGTCAAAAATCTTTGTTAGAGCTTGTTTTGATCAGGTAAATGTGTACAACAACTTTATTTAAGAGTATAGAGTAGGTTAAAACAGTAAAAACTAGGAAATAGTTAAAAGTTATAAAGTAAAGGCCAAAGGCTATTAGTACAGTTTTCTTGATGAGTTTGAAATATAGAAACTTAATATTTTCAGAATATATGTAAAATGATGAGTAAACAAATTTACTTAAGAGCCCAAGACAGGTTGTCTTAGTAAAATAAATAGTTATAAGTATTTTTTGACAGACAAATTTTTTAGTTAATTTTTGTGCAATGGATTTGTAAAGAGTTTTTTTTTTTCCTATCAGCTCTTATTACACAAAATTTTGTTGAGGGATGGCATAATAGATAAAACAATATAATTGAAAACCTTTATATTGGGGTCTATATAATTACAAAAAAAATGCATAAAGAGCAACACCAAACAGATATGCAAATAGAAAACATTTTGTATGATTAAGCTTGTTTCTTTTAGTCTTGGCATGTAGTTAATTCTAAAAGACATATTCTGTCAGTATTTAATAATCAAAATGACTATTCTTTTACAGATTATTTAAGAAAAATTGCTTATAATATTTCTTTTTGATTTTTTTTTTAAATTATATATTTCTTATATAGTTTTCTAAAAATAAAATTTGAACATTATAAGTCAATAGTTGTAGTTGTTTTTTATCATTAGTATATTAGTTAAATAAAAAACTTTAGTACTTAAAGGATATTTAATAATGCTTACAAATATACATATATATATATAAATAATTTCAAATATATTATTGCTAAAAATAAATAATAGAATTAGTATTGGTAATCAAATCTTTATATATTGTAACGATTAGAAACTGATCAACGACACATTAAACCTAAAGAGATCGATTGCATAATTGTTTAACAAACGTACGTAGCATAGTTAGTAGATTTAGCAGAAACCG